CGTCTTACACTGTTAAATTAGGGATGGCTAGTGCAGATAGCCCTCGTGTAGCTTTGCGAGAAGTTCAAAACAAACAAACTATGCTGGGCATACTTAAACAGTTGACTTTAAATACTTTGTTTGTGATTGTTGTTGTTCAACTCTGGGCAGCTAATAAAAATTGTTTACCTATTTTTTTTGTTTACTTTAAAAGCTAGATAAATTATAATAGTGTTGGAATATTCTGTTATTCTGTTCTAGTGACTAATATATTTTGTATATTGTAAAATACATATTTGAAAACTTAACTATTTTTTGGATAACCGACTTAGTGAGAAAAATTATGGTTAAATGAAGACGTGCCTCTGACAGCAAAAGGTGGAACCTGAAGCACTAAATTTTTTTTAAGAATATGTTTTATTTATTGTTATATATTTTTTCATAAAGTTACCTAAAATGCACAAAATTAGAAACTCCTTTGGTTAGGTAACAAAAATAAAATTATTTAAAATTTCATGAGCTTAGAAATGCAAGCTCAAACTGTGCATAAGTTGATTGGTTTATTTACTTTATTTGTGGGGGAGGGAGTAGATATGGGCTGTTACTGTTTATTGCATTTACATGGAATAGCTTACATTGCCAAAGTCTGTAGTGTGGCAATAAAGCAATAAGATTATGTAAAAGGACAACAAAATTTGGAAGGTAAGTAATTTTAAACTCTTAAACAATTATAAATTCAAAGAAGAAGAAAATGTATTATTTTTTTATCATATTTTGCAATTTTTCATTGAGGTAAACAAAACTCCAACTCCAACTTGCTTGACGAAACATAATTTGAACATATAACTTAAATTATGTAAGACTTCACAAATAGATCCAAAATTATTTTGATGCAGCCAAGAAACTCTTTTCTGTGTACATTTTTCTTTATTTCAGTTTCAAGCCTTGAAGTGCTAAAATACTGTTTTTAAGTTCACAGTACTAGCCTGAAATGTGTGACTGAAGATTAGTATGTCATCCATGTAGATGAGACATCTCTTCTATTGCAGTCTTCTTTGTGTAATCTCTGTTAGCTTTTTAAAAGTTGCAAGTGTTTTATATAGACTAAAGTCATTTTCCAGAATTTCTACAAGTGCTGAAAGGAGTCTTAATTTTTCTACATCATTCTGTTCATTTTGCAAGCAAGCAAAAGCCAGATCTGGTGCATTAAACCAATTGAAATCCTTCTGTGCATACAGCACATGTCACAAAAGAATTGCATCAATTCATGTTTCTACATTCACTTATATAAATTCTACCCCTGGGGATGATTAAGCACTTTGTGATGGTTATATTATCCTGTCCTTCTACCTTTCTACAATTTCCATACTGTTTTAATGAAGCAATGTTAACTTTCTCTATGTAATGACATAAGAATATTACCCAGTTGGCCATCTGATTACATAAACTCATCAGGAAACCCCATGAGCAATTCACAAAATTCTTGTCTCCGTGGCAAGTTCAGATTTTTAACAGAAATTTTCAACTAGATTTCAGTTGGTTGAACAAATGTTGCATATTATCTTTCATATATGGAGTAATAGCTATAACTAGTAACATGGATGGGTTTTATCTCTTGGAGATGACATGGGCCCTGGAGGTTGTCCCATAGCTGAGTATGTTGGATGTATTTACTTCTGTTATTGCTTCTTCTGCTCCTGTTTATGGTGTGATGTGACCACTTAAAACAGTCTTACCACAATAACTGCCTCCATGAGGAACCTGATAATTTTATTAATGAATATCTCATAATTTACAGAAAACTTGCTCAGAGATGCCTTTCCATGTGTAGTATTTAGTTAATCCATGTAAATGGCTAATTTTTTCTAGTGCCTATGTTTTTGATCCATAAATTCAGTTCTATGAATCACTTAGTTGTCAGTTAAATCTTTGATTCAACTATGCAACAACCATATAAACTAAGCATCATATTTCACCACTCATCTGTCATTCCAATCAACCACACAACTTAATGTTTGTCAAAATGGTTCAAGCTCTCTTTCTATGTGTTTTTAACTGCTGGCAAGTTATCCTACTTCAAATCACACCATTGTGAAAACATGGTGTGAATAGGTACTTACTACCAGCATCTGAACTAATGTGTAACTCATTCCAGGAAGACATAACACAGAAACAAGGATGAAGCAGGTATAAACTTTTATGGTATTTTCAGGTTGAACTGACAAGATAGGTCCATAAAATAACAGGAGATTTGATCAGGATATTCAAAAAATACATAAATGCATGGTATGCCTGCATATCACACTTTTCCTCATATTTAGCTCAGATTTGTCTTCAAGCCAACATTAATAGTAAATATATATATATATATGTATACACATGTACTGGTCAATAGTTACCATAACTTGCCCTTGTAAACCCATGCATTACAGGCAATACAACCCTTTAACAAATAAATGCAATAGATTGGCAGTAGTTACATAAAAAAAACATTAACAATCATGCACAGTACATAATTACAAGCTATGCAGAATCTGAGGAATGTTGTGTTCAGTGCAAGGGCACACCATGAATGGACAGGGCCTCCCTGTGTGGAGAGACAATTCATTGTAAGTTTTGACCATACTCCTGCAATGCTGTTATCCAGTGTCTGGTTACTCATTCCAGATTTTTAAGTCATTACTCTTGATATAACTGAGACATTTCACTTCCTTGCAAATGAATATGTATTTTCTTATTTTTGGTTTCTAGCCTGCCATTTTTATCCATTGGAATAATGTTTTCAGGTTCTCAGCAGCATGCTCAAACATGTGGCCAAATAACAATGCATTGTTGTCATAGATTATTTATCTTTCCCAATGTAGCCCCTTTAAGGTAACCTTCGTTAGT